GTATGACAGAGAGACTACTGAAGTCTGTATTTATACCTTGCTCCCATCCTCACAGGCTGGTTTTCTGTCTTGAGATTGACTTGATCAGCGCGGCTGCGAAGGGTCCGCCTGGCCCAGGAAGAAGGGCCAGTGGTATATAATGCGTCCAAGGGCTGCAAGTTCGAGACTGGACGGCAATATTTGCCGGTTAGGTTGATGTTAAATGCTCGGTATCTGCCATGGTTCTGGAGCTGTAGCCATTTGCGTAGTGTGGCCCGGGGAATAATCAGTTTTGCAGATAGCGAGTGCGACTCGGACGTCAGGTCTCTGTTGTCTCGGTTTCTCCGGGAGTATTGGGTGTATTACCGGACTAGCGTCAGCGTGAGGGTGCATGGCAGCTTGGGGGTTTCGTTTAGAGGCTCTTGTGGATGTGTAGATAACACCTGTGTAAGTGTCCTTCTCAGGTCGTATCTGACCATGGGAAAATATCTTGGGAAGATTTCAATTTTGGGTTGTAAGTGAATCAAAGAGATACTGGTAGCCATATATATTGCCATGTGACATGTTGACGATGTAAGAGTTCGGCTGGCCTGGATGCGGGAGTATACATTTCGGGTGGTGGGACAGGAATGGAAACCTCGACAGCAATTTGAAGTGCGTCCTGCGTTGCAAGTAGGACCAAATGCTAGGTCGGTTGACCTTGGAACTGCCGTCTATTTCCGACGTGGCAAAGGAGATGGGTGTTCAATCTCACGGGTCACAGGCATGGGCCAACGTTTGGTCATCCGCTGTCTGGGTCTGGCTGGAGGTATGTGGCTCGTATGACTGGACAACGCCGCTTGTTAACTCCCACGGGGATTTCGGGGCTATATTCAGAGGCATCTCGTCATGTGTGCGTCATCATATGTATGCGTCGTTTCCTGAGTCTTTACGGATTTGGAAAGCCGAGTCCGAGCAAGGAAAGACTGCGTGTGTCCAATCAGCCGCACACGCTATTGGTTTGTGAGTAGTGAACGGTGCTGATAGTCCTATGTTATAGCCACCGCGAGATATTGATGACTTGTCGCGTGCGGGTGACGAAGCGTTCTAGTACTCGCAAGATCTGGGAGGAGGTATATAGTTCTTCATCGTGTGAAGATTTAGTGGTGCTCTACAATGAATGGTCCCTTGCATCGGCGGACATCGTTTGGAGTCGCACCTCCTTGCTACGAAGCTTGATTGATTAGCAGAGGTGCGTTTCGAACTTGAACTTATATTCAATTCAATAGATATGAGAGCGGGCCATTCATGGTCATGTCTCCATTGTTGTTTTGGAGGTATTCCTACAAAATACTCCCACATTATTAGATACGAAGACCCGATGAACCGAATGAAGTGAGGTGTGCCTTGTTTATGAAGTATGATGCAGCCTATCTCCTCAAGCGTTGGTTTTGACTCGAGACCATCGAATACGTGCTTGACTGGATCGACTGCCCCGCTGGCAGCTTCTTAATGATGCTTAACGTTGTTTTATACTGATCCAGCGAGCCTCGTCCTGTAGACGGCCATCTCGTATGGAGATAGATGGTCCTCAGATGTAGTCGGGTACGCGTGATGGCCAATAACGAATTCTGAGGTGTGTATAAATTGCAGCCTTCGCCACCTGTCAGAGATGGTCGCCCCGTGGATGATTGCGGAGCTGCGGGGACGTGGTACAGCTTTGTTGTGATTTTCAACCAGTAGAGTCCTGATGAGACATGGCCCATGGACGTTTATTCTCATGTGCGACACATGTGAGTTGAGGTATCACTCTCCTCTGTTGATGGATGGGTATGTGGCCGTGTATGAGCAGGCGAGACTGGACACGGGAGAAAGCCTGGCGGTTGGACGTGTGGTACGTTTGCTGCCAGCGAGATGTCATCAGGCGCCCTTCGTACTCTGCTTCTTCTGAGGCCCCGTGGGGTTCAAATCCATCCAAGATCTGGGCGGCTTCCTATTGGTTTGTGGAAGAATTAAGTGCTCCTGCTGGCGGTCTTGTTTATGTAGTGGCCACTGACGGAAGACATCTTCGCCCCTCCACGCAAACGTATAGAGCACATGCCCATATGATGTGATCACTGTAGGCGATATATATATCTCGCGTTGTGTGGCATGTGTCACTGTTCAGCAAATAAATTGGACGTTGACTTTCCATCGGTTTAGATGAAGCGAGAGTCGAGAAGCTGGCATGCGTTATACAGAGGTGCGAAGCCCAAGTCCAAACATTGACAGACGTTGCGAAAGACGTTGCGAAAGACGTTTGCATCTATCTCTCTGTCGTCGTTGGAATGGGCGTATACTTTCCAGATACTTCAACAGGAACGAAGACGGAGATTGACAGACTCGGCAGAGTTGCTTCCAGGGTGGGGGTGTGATGAGATGCAGGAGGATATTGTGCTGTGGAACTCGAAGATCATTCGTTGGCTTGTCTATTCTGTGCCACCTGTTGAAAACATACAGAATGTGGCATCTGAATTAAGTTGTTGATTGCCGAGTTGATTCTGTCTCGTTTTATTTGGCGTTCAGCCGCAGGGGGTGGTGAAGCCCACGTCCAGGTCGATGATGTGGAGATGGTTGGGTTGACGAATGATACAAGATGCTGATGTGAATAATCTATGAGAACCAAAATAATGAACTCCGTGATCTCCGTTTTTTTAGAAGATTTGCAAATAAGACCTGCGTCAATCATTCCTGGATCTTTCCGAGCGTGTAAAGACAGCCCGGTGTGGATGATAATGAGACTTGGGCTCTTGGCCGTCTGGCTCCGAGGCTAGTCGAGTATACAGCAACATAACCAGCCAAGATAAAGGGTGGCAAGAGAACTGTAATAGAAGAGGGCGCTGCTGGGTTTGGTTCCGTTGAGTTGACCATGGCCATGACTTGCAGGCTTGTTTGCCTTTGCAAAGAAGCAGTTCAAGACAGATATATTGTCGCTGCAATGAGACCAAGCGATGATGACACCTTTTTATTGATTTTCGATCAATCACTGTCGTTTCGGTGAGCAACATGACGGCCTTCTGAGACGTTCTTATGGGTAAGTGTATATTCTCTGAGCCAAGTAGTCTTTGATGAGGACAGCGGATGCATCCTCATAGTTTTGCCGTTGAGATCACGGCTGATTCTGAATGTGCCGCCCAAGGCAATTCTCCACGGGTATGCTCCATAAACGAGGGTGTAAAAGTCGGCTCGCTCTCTTCGAATTTGGGGGTTTACTGGTATTCCTTTGGCATAATCGGGCGAGAATAGAGACAAGGGTCTAAAACGGAATGGATGGCGCCTTCTTAGCTGTTTGGTTTGTGAGCGTGGACGAGTTCATGATACGAGCCACTAAGCTATTTCCTTATACTGGGAAGGGAACATGCTGAAAAGAGATGAATTGGTAGATCACTTCATCTGGCACTGGCGCCAGTTGAATACCGATTTCATCACGGAGAATGTTGCCTTGGTGATTGCGTTTACGCCTGCTGCAACGATATAAATTTGCCTGAGCGTTGTTGACTTGTGGAGTCTTCAACAATCGAATTTTTGGATAATTGAGGTGAAGTTGAGCTGTGAGTTCTGCGAGTCCACTGGTCCCAACTCCGAACAGGATGATGAAAGGTTCTTGTGAGTTGTAGACTGATCCGTGCTTCCTTGGGTTCTAGTCGATGCTGAGGAACGAATGCCTGCGCAGTAGGGAGTCGAGATAGGGGAGAGAAGAGATGGTCACGCTTCGCAGAAAGTGAAGAGCTTGCGTGGGAGGGATCTTGCTCCTGACCTAGTTCGACAACTGAAAGGGAGCAGCTATCATAAACCCCCAGGAATCCCTCAAGACAGAGCCTTGTTTGACGAAGTATCGGCAGCATACCGAAGTCATCCTAACATGGAGGCTCAGGAGCGCACGACTTCGGCCGCGTCTTTCCAGTCGAATAAAGGCAGTGCAGTATAAAACGTAAGTACCCATGTTGAATCCATCAGTCATGAAGACGACAGCCAAAGATGAGAATCTTGCTCAGCGACAGAATGGTTTTTCACGGCATCAGCCGCAGCCTCTTCTCTTGAATAGTCACTTCACGAGAGCCTCAGATGTCCATTAATAGACCGCAAGCTTCACTCTATTGTCGTACGTGTCGGGCTTTGAATCGGCACCGAATATCTAAGAAATAATGGAGATGCCAATTCAAATAAGCCAGCTCATCAGGCCCCATTTCAACAGCTGATGGAATGAAGTTACCCTGACCAAAGCTGGAGTTAGCACTTCTCTCAGCATGGCCTGATCCTGAATGAATGCTCTCCGTATGTGAGGTTGGCAGTCGAGAATTGACAGAATATTGCCTTCAGTGGTTTTCGAGGCAGCACCATTGAGTTTCAGTCAATATAATGCCACTCTCCGAGACTCTTGGTTGTCCCGTCGCTTCCGCCAACATCGATTGGCCCCGCAGACCCATCGGAGTAATCCGCGCAATGTACTTCGCGGGCGGGAACAAGAAGAACATCTTTCCTGACCGCCGGCATCATTGATTTAAACTTTTTTGACTTTCCAAAGCTAAGCAAGACTGGGGAGCGAGACGTGGGGTTGCGTTCCGAGGAGTCAGGCCAGCCACTTTGACACAAGGCGAAAGCGACGGGACTGACTCGTTGCCGTTAGCCGCTGTTCTGCCCTACAAAGCAACGCCTTACAGTGATCAGATGAACCGGTTGTCCCTGTAACATAAACGACGGGACGTTCTCAGATTTATTGCTGCCCCCCTCAGCCACGACCGAAATAAGTCTGGTGGTGGCCGCGACAGCCAAGCGACGTGCCTGACTAGCCATGACATGATATAGCATACTTTCCGGTAACTCCCCGATATACTATGCCTCAAACTTATTTTCGTATAGTACGGATAAGTCCAAGCGATTTGGGAAATAAAAAACCGAGAACTCGACAAGCTGATTCTTGATAAAGCCCACGTCGTCGCTGCCTTGCATCCCGATTCGGACCACTTCCTCAACCACATCTTCATCTATACTTACATCTCAAAATGCAGATTACTTACGCCTTCATCGTGTCCGCCTTCGCCGTCGCCGCCGAGGCGGTTACATGTGCCTCGGCACCCTTCAAGAGCGGCAATGTCTTCCTCTTCAGCGAGCGGACCGGTGGCGTTCAGCAGGCCGACTTCAATACGGGTTTCCTCCGATACACCCCGAACAGCGACGCCACGAAGGCGGGCAAGCTGGAACTCTCGAACCAGACCCAGGACCGCAAGGTCATGTGCGTCGGCGAAAAAGACGCCAAAGACTGGACGTGCTTCTGGTTGGACGCTGGTGGCACTTGCGACACGACTCTCTTGCTGGATCCAAGCAAAGACACTAGCGTAAGTTACTACTTCCACTGTTGGAGAAGCTATTATAAGGTGGCATGGGCTAACATTAACAAAGGTTGGCACTGCATAATTGGTGCTTCAATGTAACTGGAAGCGATACATAGGTTTAGCGGGACTTATTTCAGTAAAGGACGATGCTGAACAACGATATCTACGTTGTTGACATGATTAGAACGTCGACAGGCATTGGAAATCATTAAAGAATATGAGATCAGGCGCTAAAGGAGTTTTCACGAATGCTAGAAACACATTTACATACCCACGATCATGATGACTTTGTGCGTGAGGTCTATGGTTCTGAATGCTATGATGACTGCAAGAATGATGACGAAGTTTGTTACGACGGAATAACGAAAGTCAGCAGACTTCTTGAAGTTCATGCGATTAACAAGCTCCAAAGAAATGCCTCCGACCATCAAGCAACAAAGCTCCGTCCGCGAAGGTGCCTTGACTGAAACGGAGGCTCTCAACCGGGTGTTTCGAGAACCTGAAGAAATGCCTGGCAGCACGGATGAACAACATGTAAGGAGTGGCTTGCAGTCACTAGACACAGGCTACCATGGCTGAGCTATAGATCAATATAAGAACTCGATTCCGGTTGAGTTTGATAGCCAGGAAAATGAGCATCCCTGGAAGGTCGGGACGAAGCAACGTTGTGGGCTGTGTTTCTGCCCCGAGCGTGTCACTCTGCAACCTTAATGTACCAGACTGCAAACCTCTGGGTTTTTGGGCTACGGCGCAGTCGAATCCGGAATACTTCAGTCCTGATGACTAGCACTGAAATTTAAAGATAGACGTTTAGCTTTCACGGCCTCAGTAATTGTTTTGTACAACCTGATCAGCTTCCCAGTGCTGTTCAGCTTCTTAAAAACCCCTTTATGTGGGTGGAGAAGACCTCGCATTGGAGTTATTGGTGGTTTTCTTGCTTGCTTCGAATCTCATGGGTATGAGAAGAGCTAAATAGTTGACGACTCGCTCATGACATGGCCTAGATCTAGATCAAGAGCTTTCCTGATACGTTTGGGCACTGGTTTCAGATCATCGCTACTCGAATTGAAGGGAAAGAAGTGACATTGACATGTCTGTCTAGAATAACGGTATCTCAACTTCAATATCACATTGGATGTCAACCAGCTTGAACACCGTGTGCATAAAACACCGGCTTTTACCTGATAACGCGGGGCAAGCTAATCCTGCAGTCTACTCGACATCTTTGATCCCGACTTGTGGCTGAGCAAAAGTGGCTATAAATCAGAGATACGATAGCCTCTTTCACCTTCTGCAGCCAATGTTGTTGGAGTTGTTGCTGCAACCGAGTTTGATGCCACGGGATATCATTCTTCCAGCATATCAGACAAGCAACCCGATGAGCCTCGTCGACTATGGTTTGGAAGCGCGGGGAGAGCGTCCATTGCAAGCAAGCTTCTTGTTTCTGGTCCCGTCTTTCGTCGTTCAAGTATTCAAATATTATAAGAGGGTCAAGATGATAGACAGAATTCTCCGTTGCGGGGAAATGTCCTTGTTGTGTATACCATCGGTGCCGCTCACCTTCAATCCGTTACCCCAACGGCTCGTTCTGGTGCGAACGAGCTAACCTGGCCAGAACGATGAACCAGCCAAGTCCAGAGGATTTGTTTGTGATAGTCCGTCTGTTGAACATCTCAATTGTCCATCTCTCTTCCCTGTTGTCTACACTCACCGGTGTATTCTCAACTAATACTAAAAGAGCAGTAAATTGAAGGAGGGGCTGTTGTGTCGCAAAGGTAGCACTGGTCGCGCTGCTTTCACCTGGCGAAGACGCAATTTTGTTCAAGGTGGCCTGTCTTTAACAAGACATGGGCAACATTGTGTCGCGCTGGAAAAAGCAGGAGAGACTAGCCGAACACTGTGATTTATAGGCGCTCTCTTGTAGTTTCAAGCAAAACATCGATGCGGTTCTGGTAGCTTTTGACTGTCTTTGTTTGCATGGGATGCAACAAATCCATGAAGCGACATATGACTCCATCTTCCGAATACAAATACCCTAGCTCTCTAGATGAAATGCCGTTGACAAACGGCTAATAATCTGGGAAGTGTTGTCGGAGGGTTCGAAAGCGAAACACCATCACTCGAGTACTGTTTGAGACTGAGCCTGTTGTAAGCCGAGAGTCTACAACAAACTCCCTCTTCCGTCTCCAAGCTTCCATCATCGATGTCCCTCGTGTTTTCGCATCCGCATACACCGGAAACTTTTACCTCCCAATGCTAAGGGGAACTCATCTACAAACTGGAACCTCTTCATAATTGAAGAGACGTACTTAATCCCTTACGACGATCTCCAGAAACATCCAAGGGATAGAGCAAGAGCTGTATTTGCCTGGAGAACTACACGTTGTGTCGCTTCTCGTACATATATAACAATCACGTCTTCCCCGCGTTACTCTTGACCTTGGACTCCGACGACGTTGTAACACAAATCTGCCATGAATCTCTTGATGTATTAAAGTAACTTGTGACATGCGCAGAAACAAACAATCAAGGGCAAAATCAGGGTTTGTCACCACAGTTCCGGTAGGAGGAGGAGAGCGGCCTCGGCCTCGGCACGTCAGTTACTCATGCGACCACATATCCCCTTGAGAAAAAGTTTCCGCAGCATACCATCATCAGCCATTCCAGTTCCCACCAGAGCCCGTCATTCCAACTGTCTCTCATGTATTCTAGCCTATATACAATTGAACCACTAAGGACGTCGTCAAAGTAGGCGCAATAGCCAGGATCAGCAGCAAACGCGGCCACCTCCTCTGGTGAGATTTGCTGAGGCAGATAGGCGCAGGCTACAGCTATAACGTTAACCTTTAAGACTGCGAGGCAGGATATAGCTATAGTTATCCTATCCGCAGGGCTTTATATATTAAAAGGCGTCGTCTTACTAATTATAATAAAGCTAGCCCTATAGTTAGTATTAATTCTAGCGTCTTAAGGTGTACCTTAAGTAAAGCTTTATAGTATAAAGCCCTATAGATCAGATAAAATAGAATATATCGTAAAATTATAGGAATTTAAATAGTTTACTTATAAGTTATAGAAATCTAAGTAGTTTATATATAGGATAAAAAATAAGCTTATAATTTAATATAAGTAGTATTTTAAATATATAGCTAAGATAAGTTTTTACATAGTTAACCTTATAAAGCTATCTCTATAAGTTATATAAATAAAGCTATTAACTTTATTAATAATAAAACTATTATAATAGAGTAAGAGAGAAAACTTATCACTTATATTAAGCACTCCACTTAGAGTAGAGAAAACCCTCTAAAAATACCTAAATACTTATATATTGATTTTCTAGATAACTACCAGAGATATAAAAATAAATATATAAATATATACCTAATTAATTTATATTTTATTTATATTTTCTACTCTTTTTATATTTTAAGTTATATAATCTTTGAAGAGAAAATAAACTACTAAAAAGAAATTTAGTAGTATTATTTTTATAATATTCTACTCTATTTTAGTTTTAAATAACTAAAGAAATATAATAAATAATAGAAAAAATTGAAATATAAAGCTAATTAAAGCTAAAAAAAAAGCCTAAAAATATTTGTTTTTAGCTAATTTTTAAAATATACAAATAATAAAGTTTTATTATAAACTAAATTAAAAGGTTTTAAAGCTTTCTAAAAAGTTAGTTATTAAATTTATTAAGAAAATTAGAAAAGATATAAAAATAAATATATTTTTAATTTATCTATTTAGTTTTTGGTTTATAAACTAATTAAACCTCTATCTATTTATATAAGCTATTTTTTTATAATAATGCTTAATATTTATGAAGATAGTATTTAGCTTTTTATTTTTAAATTAAAATTATTAAAAATTCTAAAAACTTTGTTTTTTTTATATTTTTTAAATCTTTTATATACTAAAAAAAGAAAACTTAGTTAACTTTATTTATTTATTTTATATATTTTATAGTTTTTAGTTTATATATTCTATTTTTAAACTAATAGCTAGTCTTTTTTTTAATTTGTTTTAATGTAAATATAATTATAATCTTCTGTTTAAATCTATTCTATTTATTATATATTAAATACTATTTACTTTTTTGGCATAATTGAAATTAAAAAAGTATTCTAAAGTTATATAATTTAAGTTATATTTTTAATTAAGTTATCTTAAGTAATAAAAGATTATTCTAAAATTAAATTATTAAATTTATTTATTTCAAATAATTTAAATTTTCTAATTTTTCTCTTAATTTTCTTATAACAAAACTCGTTTTATTTATTTTCTATTTTAACTTATATCTTTTTAATTTTATTTAAATATTACTCTAAATGATTCTTTTCTTTAGTATTAATAATAAAAGCTATAAAATTAAAATTATTATTATAAATTATATTTTCTATTTTATTAGTTTTCTTTATAAAGCTTCACTTTTGTTAATAAACTTAATTTAGTAGTTAAAAAGGTTTTTATAAAAGTCTAAATTAATTGTTTTAAATTTCAATAGCTATTTCTAAATATGAAGTCTTAATATTAAAACTATTTTATGTAATAATATACTTAATAAAATTTATAATATAAAGATTATACTTCTATAAATCTTTTTTAAATTTGAGTTTAAAATTACAAAATGATAAAAGAAATATAATTAATAAGCTTTTAAGTTTTTATTATTATTTTATAGATTTTATACTAATTATAAACTAATTTAACTATAACTTTTAAAAAAAGACTTTTAATTTATTTAGATTATTATTATTAGTAATATTTTATATATTATTTAAGTAGAGATATAAGCTAATTTTTTCATTAATAATTAAATTTATATATTTTCCTTTATTATTATTTTATTAAAAAAACAAAATTATATAAAATAAATTTATTAACTAAAATATTATAATATTTTATTCTAAAGTTATTATTAAAAGAAATTTAAATAATAAAAACTTTTATATGTTATTTTTTAATAATAGTTTCAATAATTAAATTATAAGCTATTTTAACATAGCTTTTTAAGAGAAATTTATTTCTCTATAAAAACTTAGATATATTATAGAAATTAGATTTTCTTTTATCTATATTTTTTGTTATTA